ACACACATATATATATATATATATATATACACTGTTTGATATTACTACACTGTACTTAATTTTATTAAACTCTTTTTTTTATATTAACAGTGTGATAGTATCAGAAAATTTGCGAAATTGTTTCGTAAAACCTATTTGTTATTACATGTGTCCTGCTTTAAGAATGTAATGATTTGGATTGTTTGTATGTTTGTTTCCAATCAAGCACAAAGCTACAAAATGGTATGAAAACACGGTTTTTGCGTTATAAGCTTTCAGGCAGTGTATTAATATTAGAAATTTTGCAAAATCTACTTCAATTTTAAGGTACCTAAAACTCTACTCTAACGCCGTATTGTATTACAAAATTCGCGAAATTGTCTCGTAAAACTAATTTAATGTGACATAGCACCCTAATTTAACATTTTACTAGAATTCTAGTGTTATGAAGTTCGCAAAATTATCTCTTAAAACCAATTTGATATTACATAGCACCCTACTCTAACAGTATTATAAAATTTGCGAGGTTGTCTCGTTAAACTAATTTAATGTGACATAGCACCCTAATTTAACATTTTACTAGAATTCTAGTGTTATGAAATTCGCAAAATTATCTCTTAAAACCAATTTGATATTACATAGCACCCTACTCTAACAGTATTATAAAATTTGCGAGGTTGTCTCGTTAAACTAATTTGATATGATATAGTACCCTACTCTAACAGTATGCTAGTTTATAGAATTCAGAAAATTGATTTGATATTGTACAGTATCCTTCTATAACAGTGTATTAGTATTCTAAATTTCACAAAATCATCTCGTAAGACTATCTTGGTATGATATAGTGCCACACTGTCAACAGTGTACTATTAGAGAATTCACGAAGTCGCCTCAAAAAAACAATTTAATGTTAAACTACTCTAAATAGTGTATAAGTATTGTATAAACTGCTAAATGTTTCTCTGAAGTTGATAAACCGCTGGATTTTAGCATTTTTTTATACTGATTTAAATTTATAAGAGCAAAATTGTTTTTAATAATTATATATATATATATATAACATCATTAAACTGTTGGTCCGCTGTATAATATCGAATAATGAATTAGGCTAAATGTTTTAACATTATTCACAAACCTAAATTAATTTAGGTTACAGTATGGTGAATTGAAACGGACTCAAAACCTCATACGTAATGTTTTTAATAGTTTTTTTTTTTAACGAAAACTTTCTGTGTAATATGAATAACTTTAGTCTCTATATTATTCACTGCTCATCGTTTGCTTATTCACTATTACAGCCATGGGAGCCTCAGTGCTTTTATCCTGATTTTCCTCATGATATTACGTGCGGAGATTCTTGGGGTAAGTTATACAAATCGCTATTTCCTGCAAATCTCACCGCTTTTATTCAGATTTCCCTGATGATGTTATCATGTGCAGAAATTCATGGTGGTAAGTTATCAAATAATGCATGGGAATCTCAGTGTTTTTATTCAGATTTCCCTGATGATGTTATCATGTGCAGAAATTCATGGTGGTAAGTTATCAAATAATGCATGGGAATCTCAGTGTTTTTATTCAGATTTCCCTGATGATGTTATCATGTGCAGAAATTCATGGTGGTAAGTTATCAAATAATGCATGGGAATCTCAGTGTTTTTATTCAGATTTTCTTCATGATATTGTGTGTAGAAATTCTTCGAGGTAAGTTTTACAAATAACCTATGGGAACCTCAATGTTTTTATCGAGACTTTTTTAATGATATTGTATGCGAAAATTCTTGGGTTTAAGTTACACAAATAATCTATGGAACCTCAGTGTTTTTATCGATATTTTCTTCATGATATTGCATGCGTAAATTCTTTGGGGTAAGTTATACAAAGCTATATTTTTTCCAGTCTTTATCTGTACAGTTGACATATGCAAATAAACGTATTCTTGGATTTTCAAAATTGTCGTTTGTTTCTCATTTAGGAAATTATCTGATTAGAATTAATATCTTTATCGATTTTTTTCTTTAAAATAACACGCGTAATTAGAAGAGAAGAATCGTTCTCAAGTTCTGCCTTTGAAGAAGTTTATGTAATTATAAGAACTTATGAGTGAAAGTAATGAAAAATGTAATGATATGTCATCTACACTATGTTTCCTAAATCTAGTGCAGACGAAGCCTTTTGCCCAATACCGGAACTCATTATACCGATTGGGATACGACAGGCATAAAAGTGGTCGAGATGCTATATATATTTTCAATTGCTTTGAAGAATAACCGTTTCGGGGTGAACTAGATTAAGTTAACGAACTGTAATTTGTATGAAACTAAAACAACTAGACTTTCTTATTCTGCTAAGCCAGAAGTGGCTTAATGGTTAGCGTTCAGTTGTTGCAAGAATACTTTCGGAGACCATTGGTGCGTTGTAAGAGAGCTGATCAAATCCCATTATGAGATTAGAGTAAGCCAAGCGTTGGCAGAGGGTACTGTTGGCTAGCAGCATTCCCTCTAGTCTATCACAATAAAAGTAGGGATGGCTATACGCAGGTAGCTCTTGTGTAGCTTTATGTGAAAGTTCTGACAACAAGAGCTTAACAACAAACAAATGATAGACGGGCTACTGTATGAAATTGGATTCAGTTATAAGGGTACGCGCCACTTTTCATTTAACTTAAAGCCGCTACTTACAATGTACGCAACTTCTGCTTCGATTTCCAAAAATGTATCGGAAATAGATTTATTCCAAGAAATCATAAAATCATGTCATGTTCATAGACCTAACTTAATCCACGAATTTACAAGATACTTTGTTTGTTTGTTTTAGAGCAAAGCCACATTGTATTATCTGCTAATCATTATAGTGTGTAACGATTAAGTTTTTAAAGATAACAGATGTTACAAGATACGACTACAGTACACAAAGCCTAGAAAGTCGCACGCTATCTAGAAAATTACGACACAACTGATAATAATCCTAATCAACTCATTTCTTGTTTATCCAACACAATAATTATCGTTGATAGGCGATGCAGAATTAAATCATAAATTACGACACAACTGATAATAATCCTAATCAACTCATTTCTTGTTTATCCAACACAATAATTATCGTTGATAGGCGATGCAGAATTAAATCCAATGTTAATGACGGATATTCTGAACACGCCCTAATATCGTTTATTTTTTTTAAGTTTGTGTCGATTAGAAAACTTCTAATTCATTTAGTGACTCTTTGGTAACTTGACAGCCATCATTGAGCAAATATCGTGCTCTTTTGAGCTAACTCGTGTAAATCCCTTGAGGCATAATCACAAGAAAATTCATTCAAAGAAAAGTTAATTTCTTGAACTAATACTATGCTTTACTATTTAACGGTCTTTATTATGAGAGTAAACGTCAGTTATGGTACGAAACATCTGTAGATGGTGAAGAAACAAAATCGACCTCTCTCTCGTTACAGGAGAAAATCGATTGATACTAGCCACTGAAGTCGGTGTGTTCCTTTTGGAAGGTAAGAAACCGTATTAAACTGGTGTACTTTATCATACCTTTAGCGGTGAGTTTGTAGCACTCGAACTAGGATTAACGATAGATAGGCAATATTTTATTCGTTGAATTTCCTATGTAACTATTTGCTTTTTGAATAATCAAGTTTGTAAATTTTGAAATGAAAAACAAAATCCAATGCAAAGAAACTCTTTTCAATAAATTTTCAGTAAAGGGCTTTAATAAAGGGCCAGGCATAGTCTGGTGGTTAGCTTGGCCAGACTGTAATCCGAGGGTCCCTTGTTCGCTGACCGTCACCATAGAAACTTGCTTCACTCTTTGGAACCGTGAATGCACTATAAATGTAACCGTGAAATTCTACTATTCGGCCAGACAAGAGTAATCTAAGAATTGATGGTGATTGTTGGTGACTAACTGCCTTCTCTGTAGTCTATCAGCTCGAAATATAGGTTGGCTATGAGCAGGTAGCCCTTGTGTAAGTTAACGGAGAAATCATTTGTAAACATAGAGACTCTAATAAGAAAAACATATATTAGCAAGTCTAATTTGAGCATTTTCGAATTTAAACTTGAGTTTCTTCTCGCTATTCTGGCATTGAAATTATTAATTCAATCACCTTAAAAAATCAAAGTTTCAAGAAAGTCTTAAGTTTTGGAACAATTTTAGTATCACATATCATGTAAATATGTCATATATTTTGTTTACTTTATGTGTAAAATTAGTTATTTTTATGTATATGTGCACATTTTGAGGGCTTGGAAGGTTAGAAAGTAAAAAAAAAAAGTACATTTCCTATGTATAGCAAATCGCTCTCTGATTGTGAATTTTATTGCGTTTTTAAATGTAATTGTACGCAACAACCTCAATTATTTTAATATTTCTTCTTCACTTACCTTTCCTTATAATGGTTGTTAGAGGGAACAGCACACCGGCCAATCTTCGACAAAACCGTGCAAGTCAGACAGCTGAGTGTAGTAGAAGCCCACGGAATTCTTTTATTTCGTGTCGACAAAGGTAAGTGTCTTCCTATCTTTTAAGATCTGTAGTGCACACTGGAAGGATTTACGCATTTTGATTAAAAGGTTAGAGAAACACGATCTTTAAACACCAGATAATTATAAAATAATTTTTTATTTAAACCAACGTTTTGCCTTCATCAGGGTTAGTACATAAGATCTTTTAGTTTTATAATTACCTGGAGTTTAAAGGTCGTTTTTTCTACCTTTTTAATCAGTAGGTTTCTTCCAAGTGTTCTATCCGATCTATTCATTGTAGCCCAACGTAGTTAATCCGTATAATACCCAACAAAACTTTTTATTACCTCATCTCATAGCTAAACTACTACGAGGACTATTAGCTCAGTCTGTGATTTTGCTTACTTAAGGGGTTATACTAAACCCCAAATGTCCATTTGAATTCGTACACAACCGTCGGGTTTTAAAAATACTCAATTTTAATGATTGACACTAACATAACATGTTATAAAATAATACTGACTACGATATATATGGTTTAAAATAATACAACGAAACCAAGTTATTGAGTTGTGATCAGTTGTTTAATGTTGCATCTGAGCCTCCTCACACACCCCTACACTTTTTTCTGGTCTCTGTGCACAGTTCAATTCCAGCCCTTCGCTCATCGAAGCCTTTCTGTGTATCTTTGACGTGCTGCATCAGATGTACCTTGTTTTTACTATATCTCGTCTTTTGGTGTGTTGATCCAGTCTGGGTCTGGCCGGACGTTGTTTCAAGTATATCTCGTCTTTTGGTGTGTTGGTCTTGTCTGGGTCTTGTAGGACGTTGTTTATAGTATATCTCGTCTTTTGGTGTGTTGGTCTAGTCTGGTTCTGGCCGGACATTGTTTCTAGTGTATCACATCTTTTGGTGTGTTGGTCTAGTCTGGTTCTGGCCGGACGTTGTTTTTAGTATAGCTCGTCTTTTATTGTTGATCCAGTCTAGATCTGGCCGGACGTTTTTAGCCGCGGCTGAGAGGCTCATAGAACGGCTCTGAGTTTTTTGTTTGTTTGTTTGTTTTTTCTCAATTACAAACTTTTAGTTCATAGCTCCGTCATCTTTTGACTGATTTGAGATCTAATTACAGTTTTGGACTCAGGAGGTCAAACACTTTCGATTGATGCATTTGACCACGTCCAAGATCCTATAGGTTAATTTATTCTAATCCTGCCTGAAAGAAATTCCATTGCCGCGGCTATTGAGGATTCCATCTTGTTTTTAGTGTATCTCATCTTTAATGTGTTGATCCGGTCTGGGTCTGGTTGTACGTTATTTTTAGCATGTCTCGTTTTTCAGCGAGTTGGTCAGGCCGGATGTTGTTTTTAGTACAATTCTTGCTAGTTACGCTGTCTATACTCTGGATGTAGATTTCTGGCGTGTAGTGAGTTTAAAACTTGGAATTTCTACAAGTGTTTTTATTCTTCTCATAACACAAGAAACACCGTATCCTAGCGAGGAGAGAGTTCACACAACCTGTTTCAGCTTCGTCTCAAAAGTTATTGTTGCCACATAAGTAATAAATTGGAGAATCAATATATCATAACTTGCAGAAAGTGTAATGTTCCTCGTGTGTACGCTATATACAGAGTAAACTTACTGTGAGTTTTGAGTTATGATAGTGGTTGAACTGGTCATTATAAGTTACTTGAATAAACAAGTCGTGATTACACAACCCGGACAAAATGTTGAACAAACTTAAAACTTAGATTGATGAAAGACTTTATAAACATTTCTCGCTCAAACATTTTTGTGGTTTCTGAAACATTATATGTTATATTGGGCTCAAAAACTCCAAATGTTATTACTAAAGGTTTTCTGCAGACAAATATTCCAAAATTAACAGACGTTTTTTTGTACTTGTAAACTGAGAATTAAACAATACACGTATTTTTCTTTTAATTATTCAGTAACTATAAGTTCTTCTCTTCATGGGATGGAGTCGTCTTTATTTTGTCAAATATATATAAAAGCACATGTAAGAAATAGAACTATACACAATATTTTAATGGGCATCATAAAATATGTGTAAATCTCGCCAATTAAAACAATTTCAATAGAAAAATTAACTTAATCGAAGTCAAGATAATTTAATGTTATTCGTCTCTTTTTGATTTGTTTTGTACATTTCTTTCCCTCTCTTTTATTTTAGCAAAATGAAATGAGAACTTGTGAAAAACATCCCAAATGGTGTTTTACCTTTGCTGTTGGAAACCCTTACAAAATGTTATATTCTCTAATGATCCTTTATGTGATAAAGAATACAGAGTTAGGTTAAACAAACTAAATGACGCGTTCTTATTACTAAAACATCCATTCAAATATACGAAAATAATGGTTTTACAGCAGAAACATGCATGTTTTATTTGATAATATGTCACGTGTGCTTTAATATTCATATTGGATTTTAAATAAAACCAGGCAATTGGAAGATTTATAAAACTTTTTGACATTTCTAAACATTTGTTAAATTTTTTACGAAGTTGTATTTTCAAAAGTCATACATATTTTTATGGTAAGTAGCAGATCTAAAAAAATTAACAACTGACGATGTTTTTCTATCTTTAGAGTTTTCTGTTCTTATAAAGACCTTCCCCACTCAAATTAGAAACCTTCGTTGTTCAAAGCGTTACTTACAGCAAACCTATATTACTATATTGATTAAAGCTTCGTGTTTTTGTTATTTTTATAGATTGCTTCAATATAGGTGTTGCTGCTAAGTAAAGGCTTTAATGTTGAGGTAACACTCGTAGTTATAAATACACTGTTATTACATGCAAGTCACGATGTAAACATGAATCAATTTTATACACACGTTGTGCAGTTTTTAAAACTCATTAGAACATTAAACAATTAGGAATAATTAATAAAATAATTATATTTTTTCTACAAATGAATTTAAATGCTTTATAGTAATCACAGTACCTGGTGGTTCTAAAGAAAACTACTACTCCTGGCGAAATTAGGGTACACTGACTGAGAAACATAAGTTTCAGTCAGGAAAGTTTGAACATTGCACCCCGAGTTTCCCTCATTTTCGTATAATAGTTTGCAGTCCAAAATATAAAGTTCTAATGCACAAAATAAAGTATACGAAATAAGTATGCCAAATATAGGAATGGCCAATAATAAAAATAGTTGTTGCACTTAATAAAACTTGTATTTAGATTATGTTGTTGTTGTTATCTTGACATTACTCACATTACATCATTTTATTCTTCTGCTGTAAAAACAAATTTAAGTTCCCCATATCAAATTTTGTTCAGTGTAATACAGTGATGATTTTTAGGTGAATTGGGAGCCAAACTGAATGTTTAAAATAAAGCAGAAATTTGGATTTTGTTTCACTCAAGCGTTATTGGCTGGATTAAACGTATTTTTGTGTGTTACCGTCAGCCTAAAATACTTACCCTTTAATAACTGTCGTTTAATTAGACCTTTAAATTTAGGCCCCCCAGTGGCTCAGCGGTATGTCTTCGGACTTACAACGCTAGAAACCGGGTTTCGATACCCGTGGTGGGCAGAGCACAGATAGCCCTTGTGTAACTTTGTGCATAATTAAAAAAACAAAACAAACAAAACAAACTTTAAATTTAGCGAATAATGGAGAAATACAGATTATTTTGAAACAGATTTTGCATCTTCGGCAATCAAACTTTCTAGGCCCGGCATGGCCAGGTGGATAAGGCGCTCGACTCACAATCTTAGGGTCGCGGGTTCGAATCCGCATCCCACCAAACATGCTCGCCCATTCAGCCGTGGGGGCGTTATAATGTGACGGTCAATCCCACTAGTCGTTGGTAAAAGGTAGCCCAAGAGTTGGCGGTGG